GGCTTTTAAGGTTGCAGTAATTAAACCTCTACTCAAAAAAGTCTACTCTTGACCAGGTGTCCTAGCTAATTATAGACCAATATCCAATCTCCCATTTATTTTTAAAACCCTTGAAAAAGCTGCTGCAAAGCAGTTATGTGACCACTTGCACAAGAATGAATTGTTTGAAGATTTTCAGGTTTTAGAGTCCATCATAGTACAGAAACTGTACAAGTGAAAGTCACCAATGATCTTCTCCTAGCCTTAGATAAAGGACTTGTCTCCATACTTGTCCTCTTAGATCTCAGTCCTGCTTTTGACACTATTGATCACAACCTCTTATTACAGAAACTAGAACATGTTATTGGGATTAAAGGAACTGCGCTAAGTTAGTTCAAATCTTATTTATCAGAAAGATTTTGATTTGTACATGTTAACGATGAATATTTTGTGCAGACCGAAGTTAGCCATGGCTTTCAACAGGGCTCTGTGTTAGGTCCAATTCTCTTCACTCATGCTCCCTTTAGGCAATATTTTCAGGTAACATGGCATAGTGCTCCCTTTAGGCAATATTATCAGGTAACATGACATAAATTTCCATTGCTATGCAGATGATACTCAGTTATATTTATCTATGAAGACAAATGAATAGGATGAAATGATGACATAGCTCTTGCCTCCAGTACTACTGTGAGGAACCTTGGAGTCATCTTTGATCAGAATATGTCCTTTAAATCACACATAAACCAAGTCTATTGCAAAAATCAGGAGCATCCTGTCTCAAAGTGATGCTAAAAAACTGGTCCATGCATTTGTTAGTTCCAGGCTGGACTACTGTAACTCTTTACTATCAGGATGCCCCAACAGATCTCTAAAAAGCCTCCAGTTAATCCAAAATGCTGCAGCCAGAGTACTGACAGGAACTAGCAAGAGAGATCATATCTCTCCCATATTAGCTTCTCTCCACTGGCTCCCTGTAAAATTCAGAATAGAATTTAAAATCCTTCTCCTAACATACAAAGCCCTTAATGACAAGGCTCCATCGTATCTTAAAGACCTCGTAGAGCCTTATCATCCTAACAGAGCACTTCGCTCTCACAGTGCAGGTTTACTTGTGGTTCCTAGAGTCCACAGAAGCAGAATGGGAGGCAGAGCTTTTAGCTATCAAGCTCCTCTCCTATGGAACCAACTTCCAGTCTCAGTTCGGGAGGCAGACACCCTCTCTACCTTTAAGATTAGACTTAAGACTTTCCTTTTTGATAAAGCTTATAGTTAGGGCTGGATCAGGTGACCCTGAGCCTTCCCTTAGTTATGCTGCTATAGGCCTAGACTGCTGGGGTGGGCCCCATGATGCTCTGACGTCCTGTCCTCTCATATCTCTCCATGCATCTATATGCCACCATTACACATCACTGTCTCCTCTCTCCCGTAGTGTGTCCTCTCTCTCCCTGTACCTTTTGCAGGTAGCCCTGGCCCTGGAGCTTTACGTTTCTGATGAGCAGTCACCGGCCGCATCAACCTGCCCAGTGTTTGTTTGTTGCGTCCTGTTGCTTGTTCAGAGGGATTTGTTGGGTTTTTCCTCTTTAATATTAATAACAATAATAGTAATAGTAAGGTCTAGACCTGACTTTGTAAAATGTCCTGATATGACTTTTGTTGTGATTTGGCAGAACTGAATAGAAGTTGCTTGAAATAGGTTGAGAATTTAAAATATTCAGTGGTAGGTCCTAATGAAGTTATTCACTATGTTATTTATTTTCTGTATCAGATTTCAATTACTGAAGGAATGGGTGCTGGATGTTGTGGGCTAACAAATATATGGACTTCGTAATCTCATTTTTATTCAAGAAAGATTAGGTAACCATGTCACAGCTGTCATCTTTATGATTAGATTGAATGAACTGGAGCAAACCGTCTGTTTGACCAGTCAGTGCTGCTTCTATCTCATCATATAGTTCATTGCTATCACTTGACATTTTAGGTCTAACAGCCTCTGATTAAATAACTAAAAAAACAGCAATAATCTATTTTTAAATGCATGGATAACTCCAGGGATATAAGAATAATCATAACTATAATAATAATGATGATAGTAATAGTACTGATGATTACTGTCATTGTAATTATAGATGAGATCATAATTGTAATATAGACTGTAGTAATCAATCGTTCAATTGCTATAAAGTTTCTCAACTTTATAAAAGTGAAATATTTAATTGCATGAGTACCACTCACAAAGAAGACTCAGGGACAAAGCAGGTAAGGTTACAATGAGGTTTACATTGTCTAGATTCAAAGTTAGCATTAGGCAAATCCAGTCTCTTGCTTAAAAATCAGACATGTTGTATGCAGTATAGAAGAAGTACGGTACTCAGATCCTCCACTTAAGTAAAAGTAACAGTAGCACAGTGTAAAAATACTCTGATACAAGTAAAAGTCCTGCATTCAAAATGTTGGCTCTACTTTTAGGCGAATCTAATTTTAAGCAACTTATGTTTATTAATTTGAATTATTTTACATACTGCTGAGTAGCTTGTGAATTTCCCATCAAGGATCAAGTCTTGTGGTTACATAGTATTTTGTTACTAATCAGAATCGAAACGGTAATCTATAACTACAGTACAGTTGCTAATGCAGTGGAGTATAAAGTTCAGTGTGCTGTGAGGTGTGAGATCCATGGATGCAGGTCCTGGGTACACTGGGTGGTAGAAACTGGCACACATGTATAATGGACAGAAATATTAGGATCAAGCTTTCTTCATGACAGTCCCTTTGACACACAGCGCATTTTATGCTGGGACTTGCTATGTAGATGCTGTATTATCATTATGTTATGTATAGAGTCAGGCCAGTAACTAAGATTTGGAACTGAAAATACAGTTTGGTACTGAATGCAAAACCTGAGCTGAAAAAAGAAGCAATGTCACTGAATCACTTGTAATGGGCAAAAAAAATGTACTGGCACTGATGAAAAGTAATGGCACTGAAAAGCTGCACTCAATGTTTTAATGCACGACCTGCCTCTCACCCAGTGTTGGCTAGGATAGGCTCCAGCCCCAATCTACAGGATAAACCCACAGTAGATGATTGGGGAGATGGATAATGGAGAGACGTTTTCAATGCCAGTGTTTCCTTTAAGGCAAGTTTGTTTTCAACAACAAATTTTATATAGCCCTTCTGTTCAGGTTAGGCAACCTAGAGCCACTTTGTTTAAAAAACAAATCTATGATTTTTTTTTAGAAGGCTATTTCCCAGTTTTATGAAAACTTTGTAGAAAAATGATTTTGAATTGGTGCTGATGTTTTCTTAGTCTGTAATTAAAAGACACTGTTGATGTTTGGGGTCAAAATGAGCCCAGTGATAAACATCATTACTATGGACGTTCACAGGTCATGGCTGATGTTGATCAAAACAAAAATGTTAACACATATTCAGATGGGTCTGTAGAACTACCCCACCCCCCATACAGCACACACACTCCCTCAGCACACACTCATACACACATCCATGCCCACTGGAGCTCCGAGTCCTACACTACATTCCTGCACATATTCACAGAAGCATACACATAGACTCTCTGTCATGCAATCACCAGAAAACTGTTACATTATAGAATTTTCTCAGGGGCAGAGGGCATGAGAATTTGGTAATTCATGGGTAAACATCTTACTGTACCTCTCATAACAGTAGAGCAAACAGAATGGGAAGAACAGAGCTGTTTCCATCATTCTTTTTTCCATTCGCTAATCATTGTTGAATGAGATTTGACCTGGTAATGAGTCAAAAAGTTAGGTCTACCATCTTTGTGGCACAGAACAGCCAACAAACAGGTGAAGCGCCCGAATGCTTGGCAGCTACAATGAGGGGAGCTGTTGTGTTATGCTGTGGGGGCATTTGGCTGACATGGTTCGGGTCTACTTGTCCCCTTAGAGTTAATTATCACTGGAAATCACCACAGAGTTGTTCTGAGTGATCACCTTTATCCTGTGATGAAACATAATCTGTTGAGAGGAATGAGGGAATATCTTTGAGGACTTGTGTTCATCCCTCCAGAGACTTGTATAATCAATGCCAAGGTGCACTGAAGCCATTCTGGAGGTCCAACACCTTACAACACCATCACCCAACACTTTAAGTTGGTTTGTCCTTTAATTTGTCACCCATCTGTACATGTGATGCATATTGTGCTACAAATGTGAAAACCTGGAAAACTACATTTAAGTCCCATTTAAATAACTTACATTTGAAAACTTAAAAAAACCTTTTTCAATTGTAAGAAATCTATAAAGTTTAAAACACCCTGTGAGAACAATGTATTGTGTGGTAAAAGTGTCGAGCACTTGCTGGAAACGGAGCAATGAACTCACCTCAGGATAATCTGAGCAGGAGACTTTTGATATTTGTCTGCAAGGACAGCGATCACAGGCTCCTGAAGCATGACCGGTTCATCTGGATGTTTCCAGGCATGCTCAGAAGAACCCAGGGGGCTGTAGGCCGTCATCACCAGGCCCTGGTCCCAGCAGCGGGCCAGCAGTTCTACCTGACCCAGGTAAGGGTGGCTCTCTACCTGTCCAATCAAAACACAGCATGAGGTCAGAATTATAAGGCCCTATCTGACATTTCTGTCAAAAATGAGTTAAAAATGAGTTATTCATATAATACTATTCTTTGATAAGACAAGAGTTTTGCTCTGTCCCCCATGCAGCCCTTGGGCTCTCTGACCACTGCATGATTCACCTCCTCCTGACACACAGGCAGAAACTGTGGTCAGAACAGTGAAGAGATGGACTTATGAGCCAAAGTCAACGCTACAGGCCTGTTATGACTGTACAGTGTTTCTGAGGCTTGGACGAGCTCTGACACTGTGACGGCATACATTGGTTTTATGAAGATGTTGTATCATCATTGTATACACCCAGTAGCACTTTTTTAAATTGTACATATGTACACATACTTATCAATCAATTGTTTTTGTTTCTTTGTTTTTATCTGTTATTTTACTCTATTTTGTTTTTATTGTGTTATCTATTGCACACTGGGAGCCACTGACCTAGAGTCAAATTCCTTGTATTTTAACATACTTGGCAATAAAGCTTGATTGATGATAGCGTTGAAAACAGAGGCTCTGTTTTTGTTTTGTTTTGTTTTAGAGTATCTCTAGTTGAGAATCCACACTATAATACATCCTCATTTGATGAGAGTAATGCTGTAGATGACAGGCCCTCTAATGCTCTAGTTAGTAGTAGTTAGCTCGTCTATGATAAGTAACAATACAAGTCTGTATATACAGTGGTAAGTTTGCTGGTTATAAGAGCACTCTGGTAAAAGGCACTTACATTTTGATTAATATTACTCTGTTTATGCTTTTAAATAATGAGGTCTTCGTTGGTCAGACTAAACCCAAAATTTAAATGTACTTCTAAATGTCATATACTGTAGCTTTTACATGAACAAGCTGGTGGACTAGTTTAAAAAAGTGTTTGTGCTTCAACAACAGACCAGAATTTACCGTTATACTTTTATAGGAACCTCAGACACACTTTTGTTTGTCAGTGTAGGTTCCAGAGGTCTGTGAGGTTAGTTAATACAGTAGCGCTGTAACAGGATTGGCGATGTTAACCCCCAGGGACATGGTTGCCAGCTTTTCCTTCCCCTGGCGGTGGGTCAGCAAACACAGGACTGCTGATGGGTGGAGCAGGGTGGGAGGGGATGCCTGGAAAGTGAGAGGATCTTCTTAGTTTAGTGCAGATTGCCGCAGTGACGGGACAACAGGAGCCAGAAGGAGCTTTAAAACATCAGAGGATTGGACATTTCACACTGCATCCAGTCCTGGAGTTCTTTTGTCTGATCTGTTTTGCATTCATTTCATTTCTGGGTGTCTACATTTATGGGTTGCTGACAGGACGTGGGACAGGCAACTCATGATGGCTGTGGTTCTGGATGCAGTGTGGCTGAGAGTGAAGAATGTCTGCAAACAGAATGGACTCCTCATCATGTCTGTGCTGGCTGTGGTCACTGGGTGCCTTTTGGGATTCTTCCTGAAGACACGACACCTCACAGAGCAGGTCAGTCTGTCTCCTGTCTGCTAGCAGTTGCACCAAAGAGACATGTCTCCTCTAAACCCTTCACATGGTTTCTTTTAAATAACTATCCGAACCCAAGGAAGTCAAACTAAACCAGGGCAGGAACAAACAGGAGACGTTCAACACATCCATGAGTATGAGAACAGACAAGGTGTAGTGAACAGAGACTAAACCAGCAAGAGATTGAGGGGAAGGAAGGAGTATATATAGTCAGGAGACCAGAGGATAATGAGCATCAGGTGGAAGCAATGAACAGTAATTGTGAACCAGGGTAAAACTGGAGCAGGTGAGGTGACACCAGACAGGAAACTAACCAAAATAAAAGCACCAAACAGGAAGCAAGTTCACAAACCATAACAGGCAGGTGGAACTCCATCAGCTTAAACAACAACATATATCACACCAGAAAACTTCACGGCCTGTGTTTATATATACCAGCGACGCCATCCAACCCAACCCTCATCCCCACGTAAACTTTGTGGCTCACCTAATGTCCCGTTTGCTTGTGTCATAATTACTACACTCACTAGAAGCTGCCAAACTATAATAGTTCATCTCTGGCTGTAAAAATGAAAGTAGCTGAATCATTTTTACAACTCTTGTTTGGGGGCCACTGGTTTAAAGGACTACACTCCCTAACAGAATATAAAGTAGGTGAAACTAGCTCCACCGTGACCACCTACCTTGACCATTCATATCACTGCAGTCTGAAAAATGTAGACTTACAATGTGCTTAAAATAGGTAACACATTGTATCAGAGATAATATCAGTGAACATTACATTTTCAAATGACACCAGTATGTTACTGGTGCATTGTAATAATTACAGACTTCCCAGATTGTAAGATGCTGTACATGGTTTAAATCTGAGTTAGTGCACTATAAAGATTAATAATTTTCCACATGAATATCCAGAAATAAACCCGACTGCATCTGTCAAACAATCCATTTTTGTGGTAATTGTCTCTGCAGTTGCAGAGTCACCTCCATTGTCATTTCTCTTAAAGGTATAGCAGACTCAAATGAAAAATCTTTGAAGGTCAAATAATTTTTCTTGTTGGCTACACACGGTATCGACTCTGTTCCAAGCAAACATTGTCAAGTTACAGGAGTTTGTGAGTACTTCAATTCACCCCCTGACCTTTGAATTAAATTGGAACACACAAGCTGAAATTGGCTTTGATTAGTGTTTTGTGATGTGAAGTGGGCTGTGTGTGTAGCAGTTGCTTTAACTCACAGGAAGAAACATAAAAAATTAGGGTACAAATTCAGGCTAAAAGCAAACCCGCAAGCTTACAGTAAATACACTGACGTTAATACAGGTGAAAGCTTCAGTGCATTGCTCAAAACACAGCCAGCTAGCAGTTTTATGGAGGGGCTTCATAAACAAAGTGCAGCCTTTTCTTTCCCATCACCCCTCTGACTAAAGCTCCATCATAGTTTCCAGTAGACTCAAAGTAGTGTATGGCTCCTATACTCTCACAATGGGAGATTACAATCCAATCAAGCAAGTGCTGTCTCCAATTGTACCTGAACTAAGAGAGCTCGTCACTGTGACTTATGACAAGGTACACACAGGAGGCACAAACCTTAATGTTTTCAGACAATTTCTGGCACCCAGATCCTTTTGGGTTTGACGTCAAAAGCTGGGAGTGGTTGTATGGGCAATCTGTTTGAGTGTGTATGCGCATTAGTTAGGTGAGATAAGATAAAACTTTAGACTGTGCAGAAGCAAAAGGATTAGCCCATATTTTAAAAGAACTTTAATTTAAAACTTAACATATTCAGATTTACATAAACATGTTAAACCATTTTCATGCAAGAACAGACTGAGTGGAAATGTATGGATAAATCTATGACACAGGTCTGCATTATAGCATTTAAGAGTCTGCATAATTAGGCCATCGGTTGCAAATTTCCCAATTAGAGGGACAAAGCATGTGAAAATAATAGAAAACAGCTCTGTAAGGCTAGACTGTATTTAACAATTAAAAGCTGAACACTCCAATATATGTTTTTATATTATTACAAATTTTAAAACTAACACTATGTACAAAATTCATGTGGGCATGAAGACATTTCATTATATATATATTTTAAATGATTCAATAAACAAGCATTGATAGTGAGTGCAGGATGTGCCATAAAAGTTCCTGTAAGTGAATGCTGGGAAATTACATGCAAAATATATACTGTACAATGTGAAAGACGTGGAAATGAGTAATATGTCCCACAGTAATATGAATATAACGTGGAGTTTGTGACGTGTGAAGTGTGGCTGCTTTTACTTTTATTATTTTGTGCTTACAGGGGTTAGACTAAACAGTTCAGTGAAGCTAACGGCTATTTAAGCACCAGGGAGACATGCAGGTCCTGACAGCAGCTGAAAACAGAAACAGCTAAACTCAACTGTCTCATAAGTTTGTAATAAAAAATAATAGTAATAAGGAAAAGAAACTGTAAATCTAAGCAAAATTAAAATTGTTGTTAAGGTGGCAGTGGTGCTACAGTCAGTTAAATTTAAAGTATGCATGTTTTAAAGGAGTACACTGGTAGTTTAGTGCTGCACTTCCATATCGACGGACTCATGTGAGACAGGAGGCAGATTTGAAAATGGACGACCAAACTAATTTCACTAGCAGCTGCTGGATCTTATAATAAAACCAACAGCATCTCTACCTTCGACCGCCTGCTATTCATCTCATTGAGTGATCATGGAGGTAGTGATGGGAAGGAGGTGGGTTGCACAATCATGGAAATGAAAGACAAGCAGAAGAAGAAGTGTAACAATATTTACAACTATTTCTAAAGCTCTGGGTGTTCCCAGGAGCACAGTGGCCTCAGCTGTGAAATTGAAGACGTTTGGGAACACCAGGATTTTTCCTAGAGTCAACTGTCTGTCAAACTGAGCAACTAGGAAGAAGGTCCTTGGTCAGGGAGGTGACCAGTGACCGGACAGTCTAACAGAGCTGCAGTACTCTGTGGAAATGGACAACCTGCTGCGAGGACAAGCATCTCAGCAGCTCTCAACCATTCAGGCCTTGATGGCAGAGTTGTTAGACAGAAGACACTTTGCGTAAAAGGCAGATGACAGCTGCTTTGTAGTAGTGCTGGGAAGAAGGGCTTTTTGATTGGAGCCGGATCTATGAGTTGAGTTCCTCTCATACAGCCGTTCAAAAGAATTGTTGCCTTTTTTGTCTTTATTTAAACATGAAGTGCACCTAGTTTCAGATCTGTGTGCCTGTCTGTTTGACCAAGGGTGGGGTGCAGCCACACACATGAGGTGCAGGGCAAAGAGGGCACGTGAAATCCTTCCTGCATGGTTGTGTTTATTTGTACTTAGAATGTAACTGCTGTGAAATGATCCATTATAAATAGATAGTCACTTCTGGCTTTTCCCGTTTAGGGGTCACCACAGCAAATTGTCACACTGATGACTCACATGTTGATATTTGGCATGTGTTTTATGCCGGATGCCCTTCCTGACATAACCCTGATTCAAACCCACACCTCAGTGGGGAGAGCGCTGCGCCTTAACCACTAGCCTACCAGGGATGACAAATGATCAGTTATAAATAATCTGATTTATTTCTCTGATTGACTGCTTTGTTTTTTATTTGCTGCTTCCTCACTTCATTGACTCTCTAGCTCACCCGACCACCTCTACTCTCTCTTTATTATTTCATAAAGTAGATTTAAAGTATGGCAGACTCTTATCTTTTCATTCCCACCAACAAGCTGTTGAATAGAATGGGTAACTGTAACATCACTACATCACCAGCTCGGAGTTTGTTAAACAGCATTTAAAGGACTCTGAGAACACAAGGGAAAAGATTCTCTTGTCTGATAAGACAAACTCAGGGTGTAGAAGTACAAGCACTATGTCTGGTGTACACCAGGTACTGATTATCACCTGGATAATACCATCCCCACAGCGAAGCATGGTGGTGGCAGCATCATGTTATGGGTGGGGAGACTTCAACACCACAGAATATCTGTGGAGAAACCTGAAGATGGTAGTTCACAGTGTGGTGGAAGAATGGGATAAACTGCCCAAATCTGGGTGTGCAAAGCTTGCAGAGAAGGGGCTTCCACAAAGTACCGAATTAAGGATTTGAAACTTTCAGAAATATGACACTTCAGTTTTTGATTTTTTAATAAATTAGCAAAAATTTGTAAGATCATGTTTTCACTTTGTCATTTTGGATTAGACAGTATCGGCTGATGGGCAAAAATGGCAACTATATTTATTTAACATTAAATCTACAATGCAGTACAGTGTGTAGAAAGTGCAGGAGTCGGAATACTTTCTGAAGTTACTACTTGTCACTACTGACTTTGTCGCTTCACTGACTTTATGGCTCCTATCTGCTTATGCTGCTGTTATGCTATGTCTTAGCATTCACCATTATCACATAATTGTCATTTGTGGCCACAATAGCTGCTATTCAGCATATTCATATTTTCAAATATTTTAAAAGCACACTCCTTCACCTTTTATATGCAGTAGCTTTATGCATGCGTGCAAGATGAGCAGAGACAAACCTTCTCTGCTGGCTGTATGTGAGTGCAACCCTGCTCTTACACAGCAAACTAAGCTCTCTGCTTAAAGAGAAAAGCTCTTTAGCTGTCATTATGCACCTGTCATACTCTGCAGCCCCCCAACCAGAGTCCCTAACCTAACACTTCTTTCCATCTTCTACATAATTATATATAGAGGAATTATATTTTTATTAACTGGAAGACAGGTTCTGCAGATGCTGTTTCAGCCATTAGTAGCTGCCTACATATTTTTCACTGAAGGTTTAGACTTAATCTCAGCTTTTATAATAACAACAAATAAGATGACTGTGACATCATGACAGAATATTACTATAGCCTCAGTGACCAGTCCAGCAACAACAACAAAATAAAATAAAGTAAAATACAAAATCTACATTATCTAATATAATAATGCTAGCTACACATAAGGGTAAAATTAAGTCACATGTCTTGCACTTGTGTCAAAAATGGGTTTGAAGTCACAAATCTAATGACTCGAAATTGACAAAACTGGCACAAAAATACCAATGACTCTGGAGTTCCTTTGGACTTTAGCCTTGACATTTAATTATTTGATATCCTTCCCAATTAAGACGTAGAATCTGGTGTGCAGAGAACCAGTTTTTTATATTCTTCTAGATATATATTTGGAATGACTTTTACATCCATCATCTATACCACTTATCCTAACGTATTCTGTTGAATATAGGAGATGATTGAATTACAGTTTAATAAAGCAAAGAAAAGATTGAGACCTTATGCACTTTCTCTCAATCACAGTCAAGGAAAATATAACAGCACCATTCAACTTTCTTCAATAGGAGACAAAAACAAATTCATAATTGATATAAAAATCAAGCCCACACACCGTAATACCAATCTATTATGCCTTTTGAGAATAATGAAATGTGCGGCGGCTTTTATGTGGCACACTGAGACACATCACACTGGCAACCCAATCAAATTCAACCCGTGAAACATTCAAGGACAGTTACTCTTTAAAGTGCATTATTATCAAACACTAATTCCTCTTGCGGAGCCCATAAACCACAGTGAACCTTTTTCAAACTCCTGATACGTTGCCAGGTTCATTTTGACAGAGTGGAGATATGTGGTGCTATTGCAGGGGATGGAAACAGCTAACAAAGGACAGCTGTCCGCTGCTGCCCTGGACAGAGGCCAGTGTGAAGCCCAGAGGACACTGAGACAAATGCACAAAAAGCTGTGAAGGCTGCAGACTTCTGCTGAGCTGTCACTCCAGGACATTGGAAACCTTGTCACTGGTGCATCTCTGACTGCGCTGCTACTTTTTTCCAATTCGTTTTACCTGCCTGTGTTTGGTGGTAACTCTGACTCCTTTTACCTTTTTAACCTTCTTTAGCAGATGATTCTGTGCAAGATATCATTCACCAAAGAACACTGCCTCCATCTACATACATATGTCTCTGGCATAGTACACAGCATATCTAGTAATAGAGGCCTGAAAGGAAGGACTGGAAACAAACAACAGTGTCTAGTTTTTACAACAGGAGCTTGTTATCCTGTTTTGTGAGTGTCTCCGAGCAAATGGGGGAAGGACTTCCTACCCTAAAAACAAAGTAGTGAGTCATTTATCAACATCTTTTCACCCCTGTCAAACAGTAAAATGGCAATTTTGTGCTTCACATCCAAGGAAAATTAAATAATATGCTCAGCTTAACATCACCTTTTTATTTATCATATTTTCAAAATGCATTCTGCTTAATCACTTGTATGATTTATGCATTCTAAGCAGGCTGAGTTGCTTGATTAAAAATAAAGTTTTTTAAATTAGGCCATTTGTAAAATAAGACAAACAGGATTTATAATCAACTTGTCTACAAGCAAGTGTTGCAAAATCAAGCATCAGCATTTTAGAAAGGACATGAGGTGATAAATGTTGTCTGGTTATGATGTTGTTAACAGGCAGAGTGAATGAGACATTATTATTGTAATTAATCAGTCATCTAATCATTTGTGCAGGGCAGGGCTTTATTCTTGCTCTCTAACACAACATTTTGGAGAAATGAACAGGGCCGCTGTGCTGGCACAGTGTTTGATTCCAGAAGACATTCTGGCTTGTTTACTCACCCTCACACTTTACATACAGTCTGAAAAACAGATGGCGGGGCCCCCAGTGCTAAAAGACAGCAATCACAGGACTGGACAAAGTTAGAACAAGACATGTATTGCCGACTAACAGTGGATTTTAGTTCTGAGTAAATGAAAACACTGAAGGGTCAGCTGGCCGGGTCAACATCTCATATGTGAACGCCTATGTTTAACCAGTTTCACTGCTAGCCAATCTCTTACGAAATAGCATCCCATAGTCGTTATCCCATAAATATATCCCATTATTTGTGTGGCATTTGAATGGCATCTAGTGCATGCTGAATGACTCAGCTTTTTATTTTTACTTTTATCTAACAAATGAATGGTTAGCAAACAGAGCCACAACACCATTTGTGCCAGTTGCCCAGGTTACATTTCCACAGGGAGCAACATCAAAGGTTTTCCACCTGATGAAGATGTATTAGGTATATTTACTCTCTTTTAGCTCTGTTTTTGTGCTCTACCAATTCTTGAGGGAAATGTCTGACACTTTGCTGCCAGCTGCCTCACTATTGCAGAGTGAGTATTGCACTTACCTCTGTCAGGTTTAGAAAAGCATGTCTTCCAATAAATTGTTGCTCTGTGTCTGGTGGATGTGCCAAATGTTTATTAACACCAAAAATTCAGGACTATGTTCTTCAAATGATTAATCCCACTCTTCTGCATCCAATGGAAATCTATTACTGCAACTTTAAAGTCCAGACCAATTGTGCAAGATTCCAAAATACAGCATAGTTAGTGTTACTGATTACAGAGGGTTTCATCAACTTGATCATATTGTCTTTACTTTTGCTGACCAGTCACTGTTCTTCATGTCTCCATGTGATCGCTTCCTATCCACCACTGGCTTGAGCTGTTCAAATCTGCTAATTGTCAGCAGAGTTTATGCACAAAAACAAACAAACAAACAAACAAGTATAAATCCAGCTTCAGTCTGACATTTCATGATCAAGGCCAAATCAAAAGCGAGACTGACTTCTTTGTGGAAAACATAAATAAATAAATGTGGTGCTAACATGGAAAATGAAAAACAGTTTTAGCCACAAAAAATAGT